CCCCCCCCCCCCGCGAACCCACCAAACCCTTCAGCCTCAACAGGTCTCTCGGAGGTAACTCCCGTGCAAATGTAGTAAGCAAAAAGAAAAAGCAGAAAAGAAAGAGTTTTTTTCCAAGGCTTTCTGACCTCCAGCAGCAATGCATCGACTGAGTCAACAGGAGGACACAGGTGAGCCAAATCTCCCTTGACCCCGTCCCCGCCCCCACAAATCCCCCTTTTGACGTTTGTGCTTTTTGCACTCCATTTGTTGGAGCCAAATCTCTCGTGAAGTAGTTGCTTTTGCTCAATTGAGCTCAGATCTTGATGGTGCCGCGCAAAATTTATTAAACCGTGGAACGAGAGTTCTCACAAGAGGACATGATTTTTTTTTTTTTTTTTTTGTAACTGATCAGAACAGATACTACACTTGATCTCAGCCAAATGGCCGAGAAAGGTATTCTGTGATTGGCTGAGGCAATTAATACCGCCTAGCACTTGGACAATATCGTGGAGCGGTTGCTTTTGCTCAAGTGAGCTCAGATCTTGATGGTGCCGCGCAAAATTTATTAAACCGTGGAACGAGAGTTGTCACAAGAGGACATTATTTTTTATTATTATTATTTTTTAACTGATCAGAACAGATACTACACTTGATCTCAGCCAAATGGCCGAGAAAGGTATTGTGTGATTGGCTGAGGCAATTAATACCGCCTAGCACTTGCACAATATCGTGGAGTAGTTGCTTTTGCTCAATTGAGCTCAGATCTTGATGGTGCCGCGCAAAGTTTATTACACGAGAGTTCTCACAATTCTGTCGTGTCGTGTCGTGCTTTGTCTGCCTTGTTATGTCCTTGTGTTTCCAGTAATGGGTGGGCGCATGGCGAGTGGAATGCCCTGTGGGACGCAACATGTGGCATTGTAAAGACAACTATTTGTTAGACCGGAGCCCCGTCTCTGAGGGTGATTAGTTGATGCGTTGATGCGTTGAGCAGTCCAAATAGCAAGCTGAACAAGATGGCCTTACAACCGAGGGTTCTGCTGGAGAGATCCGTATCCAACGGTCTTGCGGGCGACGATGGGCTCAACTCAACTTCTCGATGTGAAGGACAGAACGGATGGCAAAGTCAACAAGGTTTGGTTTGCGGTAGTATGGAATGCCCATCTCCATTCGTAGTCCAGGGGGCGGACTTCGGCACTCGAAGAGATGATGCCAGACTGCTCATCAACAACCTGGATTGCTTCTGGCGAAGCCCCGTAAGTACTGCCTATTCGGTCAGGCCGGATAGTTTAGGGACGAACGAGGATAAGGAAGAGTGGATAATTGCTCCGTGTCTGCTGGTTGAGAAGGCAGGCCCTGCGACATCGCGAATGAGGAGTAAAGGTGTTTGTGTTCCTCCGAAGAGGCTCCTGCTGTTCAATGCGAAGGGTCCGATCGACGGAGTTTTTGCACAAAACTGGCGACCGGAAACCCCTATGACTCACCATGGAGTTTTCGGTGGGACCCATGAAACGCGGTCGCAGTTCTTTGCAGAAAGTCCTTTGCTGAGTGGGATGGGTGATTCTTTGAGGAGCCTGAAGGAGGATGCAGATGATGAACCGGGGCCGGAGGTGATCAGCCGTGCAAAGAAAGGGCCTGAGATCCGCAGCAGGGCACATCGCTATTTTCCAGAAGAGAGCACAAGGAGCGTATTCGCAGAGCCGAGAGAGACTGGTTCCTGTGCAAGTGCGAGTTCCGTGATTTACTGGGACATGAATGACGAGACGGTAGAGGACAGGGAAGAGGAGGGAGATGAGCTGTCAGTCTCTTCAGCCCGTGACCTTAGTGGCGATGCGGGAAGCACACGACCAAAGACATCTGATCAGGAGCGAAGGCATCCAAGCAAACGAACAGTTTCTGATGACAGCCATGCTACGTGCTCGACCAATACCACATCGAAGGGAACACCCGACTCCGACAGCATAATAGGTCATCGTGGAATTGGTGACCAGCGGGGCACGGAGCGGCCTGGACGCAGAGGGGAAGGGGCTCGTTGGTGCGATAGCCGCCTGACGGAAGACTTCGCGATGTGGCCCGAGCTGACCCAGCAGTTGCAGGAGCTTGCGAAATCCTTGCCAGACGGCGATTATCCGCCTTGGCGGCAAGCAGAGATGTCAGGAGGTGAGAGGGGTGGTGATGATTCAGCAGGTCACGGGGACGCATCCCAAGTACAGCTGCGGCAGCACCACGAGGAGGAGGGAATTGAACAGAGTACAGTCTGTCATGAGGAGGGCGCGTTCATCGATGACGAGACTGGATCGTATGCTGCGTGGAAGTCTTCTGAGCACGCTAGGGGCTTCATGGGAAGAGACTGCAAAGGGAGTTGCTCCCGGGGATTGCCCGATGTCGAAGCTGGTCGCAAGTATTCATGGACCAACAATAGATTGCCTGTGAGGGTAGCCGACGGGGCGGGCAGCAGCAAGCTCACTCGGGAAGAAGAGAACGTTAGTCAGTCGAGCGAATGGGATGGAGAAGAAGAAGAGGACATGTGCGTGAGGGGTGTGAATCCGGAGTTGCTGAGGAGGGAACTGGAATGGCTTGTGCAGAAGCAAAGGAGGGAGGAGCACAAGGTGGATGCGTATGGGAGTGACGGTAGCGAGTCCGAGCATCATCGCCGAAAGAAATCAGGGATTTGGGATCTCTCGCTAAGCGGGTTCTGGTCCTGTGCGGGCGGCACGAGCTCTGCAGCGGAGGAATCAAACACCTCGGAGGAGGGGGGAAGCAGACAAGGAACAGGAGAGGAAACAATCTTTTGTGAGAGGACCGGTCCGGCCCCCAGGGAGGGGGGGCCTTACTGGCTTCTTGGTTCTGGTGAAAATGGGACTGTGATGCAGACAAATAAGAAATTTGAATCGGCAAAGGGAAAGACACCAGAGAAGGACCAAGATATCCGATTAGCCGCAAGGATTGAGAACAACAACAAGAGGAACAGTACGCCAGAGAAGGACCAAGATATCCGATTAGCCGCAAGGATTGAGAACAACAACAAGAGGAACAGTCTGTGGAGAATCGATAGGACAAAGGGGCACGGAAGGGGGGGGGTGAGAAAGCTCATTGTGGGCCTGATGTCAGCAGCAGCTGCTGGTGGGGCTATTAATTACTTGTACAGAAAACGTTGGCAGCGCCAAAGGATACATTAGTTTAGCTGCTATCTCACCAGGGATGTCTGAGCAAATGAAAGCATGTCAATATTTGTGCATGTATGCTGTGCAGAGGAGCAGGGAGGGGGGGAGAAGTGGATAAGGGTCAAGGGGCATGTCAGAAGCAGAGGAGGAGAAACTAACATACGAACACACACAGAAAGACAAATAAGTAGTGAGAGGAAGAGATGATGTGAGGGATGCAGTAAGGAGAGAGAGAGAGAGAGAGAGAGAGAGAGAGAGAGAGAGAGAGAGAGAGAGAGAGAGAGAGAGAGAGAGAGAGAGAGAGAGTAGTGATGTCATCAGCTACTGTTAAGTGACTTTAGATTTGTTGATTGCTGTAAAAATCGTAGTGAGCGAAAAGGAGGTTGGTAGCGATGATGCAGGTCGAGGGAGGAGACAATGCTTAGTTGTTTATTCCCGGTCTGCGTTAGAGACCTTCGGGTGACGCAGTTTGATGCGATAGCTCCTCTTCATCGAATGGTTTGACTCGTGCAGCTTGACGGCGCCGTGTGGAAACTCTACTTTGACTCATGCAGTTTGACTGTGTATTAATGTTATGATGTTGCATACATGCGAAGGGAGTTGTGGGGGCAGGGCGAGGCGTTGGGAGCTGAGTGGTTCTCTGCTTGTGAAGGTGTAATGAAGAAAGTAGGGCCTTTGAGACAGTGCTCTGTGAGGTAATGTGCTGAGTTTTTTTTTTCCGATCAGCTGGTTTTGACGCATAATCTCCTTTTCCTTTCTTTGTAGGTTATTGTGAGCCGAGTCCCCTTGGTGACGAGTATAGGGTCCCTTCGATGGCCATTATAGGGTTAGGGAGGGAAAGAGAAACTCCCCAGTGACTGATAGCAAGCTACCTAGTGAAGGGTTCTTTTTACTGAGAGATTGACTTTGGTGTCTGATTAGCATTATGGTCAAACACTTTTCGCTTTGGATGCCTCTCCTTTCGGATGGTGAAGGATTGCAAGAGGAGGATAGAGAGACTTGAAGAATTTGGGGTGGGTCTTATATCGGAGAACTTGTCTCTCGCCCCAGTCCGCTGTGATGGGCACTTGAAGAGCGAATGACTATGTATCCGATTGTCTAGGGCACTATTCTCTCTGGTTGCTATGGATGTTAAGGCACTCTCCGGCAGTACATGGCCTGTTGGCCCCAGCGAAGCTGAGAGTCCGATTGAGCCTTGCCTAACATTTCGGAGGCTCGCACACCGCCAATGAAATAAATGGACGGCGGGCGTCCTCTGAAAGGGGCCCGTGGCCGATGGACGGATGGGTGGGGTGGGGGGGTTAAGGCCAAGGGTTTCCCCTGCAGCTGCCAGCTGGCAGCCGTTCCTACCGGTGATGCATAACAGGAGCTCAGTCGGATCCACAGGGATTGTAGGCGTCACTGGTGCGCTATGTCTGGAAGCCCTTGTGGGTCTGAAGAACTGAGAACGATCTTTCCAATGTGGAGAGCAAGCAGTTGTTGTGCAGCCCTGCAATGCCAAAGCCCGCTGCTTACATATATTACATGTGCACGAGTGTGGTTGCAGTGGAGTTTGCAAGTATCAAGCAAGTGCTTACGGCCATACGGCATCAGTGCAATGGATTCGATTCTTTGTCGACGAGACAGGTGATCATGCGCTGGCGCCACTGGGGCCAATTCTTTGTCGGTGTGACTGGTATTGATGCCCTGGGGGCAATTTTTTGTCGACGTGACTGGGAAAGATGCGCTGGGGGCCGGTATCAGGCAAAGTGTCCGTGTCACAGATTATATTCTCCGGAAGTGAACTCCTTGTGGTTGTTTGGTCCAAATTTCCAAAAGGCTTTGACTTCGACTCCTTTGAGCCTTTCCCACCCTTCGGAGGATTTGTCAGTAACACAATTATTATTATTTGTTTATGCCAGTTTTGTGGCACGACATTTTGTTTTTTCAAAGTTTTTAACTCCAAGCTCAAAGTTCCGTTTCCGCTGAATTTGGATTCGAGTGAGTCACATGGGTGATAGTTTGACAAACTGCGGCGGGATGAGTATGTCATTCTAAATCTTAAAAAATCATTTAATTTTTTTTTTTTTTTTTAAGGCGACGGGTCTATAATCGGCCTCCCCCTGTGTGTGCTTTTTTCACCTCTGAGGACGGCGTTATACTCCACTTGGCCTGTACACTTGTGATCCGCAGGGGAACTTTCTGTTGCTACAATTTTGTTTTGGGAAGGTCGGGGGGAGGGGGGGACGGGGTTGGTGCTGTCTCTTATACACATCTAGATGTGTATAAGAGACAGGCTCGTAACCAAACAGAATGTTACGCCACCGTGCTCATTATACATTGGCCAGAAATAGTACATACGGAGTCAGATGCCCACACAATGTGGCAATGTTTTTTTCAGTTTCTGCAGACCTGCATGTGCACCAGACATGAGGTGCAGCCACCTGTGCCGCATTTGCAAGAGTAGCAGCCAACCTGAGCACAAGTACGGCTTATCAGCTTCTGTTTTCTGCATACAACCCGCCCGCTTCGCATCCACCTATCCCCGATTTCTCCCCCGTTCTGACCGCGGCAATGATCAACCTTCTGATCACTTGATGGAGCCCTGGAGCGGAGATGATCTCTTGCCGGAAACGTGCGCTACAGTCAAGGGAGTTAATACGGAGGCTTACGGCCGGAGGGACCAGATGGAAACAGCCAAGACCACAATGAGACCCCCCCGCCGATCAACATGCAGATGCAAATGTTTTCATAGTGCTACAGCGAGGCCACGGTGCTTGCTATGGCATTAATGATTTTAATTTTTAATGGTGCATGCTAATCTTCTCTGTGTCGTTCCAATTTTAATGGATGTGACGGATGTCCCGAAGAACGTGTCGTCAATGTTTTTTCTGTTAACCTGGTCATAGAAAGTATGTGTCTCTACTGCATGGACTATATTCCGGATGCAGTCACCCGCCACATCCTCTCCTATCATTCCCCGCATGCAGCATTCGCCATACGCCCGCAGCAACTGCAGTGGGATCTCTTTCGTCCTTTGCCAATTCTGAACAATACCGACACAGCAGCCTGAATAGGAAAATAGACCATATGAACCCCCCCTACAGAGCGCTGTACTAGTGCTAGGTTATCACGACCAGGGCGAGCTATGGCAGACCAAATAAATCGGGCAACAGCTAAGCGCTCTTGCTGTTGATCAGTTCCCGTTGTTGCTTGTCCATACGCACGGAATAATGACTGCGGATGCTGAGGAAAATTGCTTGATGCCGCTCTGTGATGGCACACTCGAGATTCGGCTAGCATGTGATTCACATGCTTTGTGTCCTGAGGATTATGTACACATAATAGCTTATGCAAGTTTTTGTTTTCGTATGCATGATGACAGTCAACATGGCACTCGTGTACGTCTCGGCCGCATGATTCACAATTGCATAAGCATGTACGTTTCAGCCCTGACGTATCATGTCCAACTTGTGAACGGACTGAAACGGCAATGCTTATGCAATTGCAGTTGGCATGCCTCTGTTCCGAGCATGTAGGAGCCATGTAGCCTGTGACGTTGGTGCACGCGGTGCCAATCGATGCCGCAACTGCAGCGGCGAGAATTGGATGCGGTGCGTCCACAGTCCGCACCCGAAACGGTCTGTAGGGGTGACCCACTTACCAGAGGCAATGGCTGCTTGTGACCAATTACCATAGGCAATGGCTGCTGCTCAACTCAAAATCTCCTGCAAGTTCTGCAACCCAAACACTGGCTGTTCCTGCAGTGAGTATTCAGAACCCTGCAGGGTCTCTCTCTCTCTCTCTCTCTCTCTCTCTCTCTCTCTCTCTCTCTCTCTCTCTCCCTCTCTCTCACACACACACACACACACACACAAGGTTGGTTTGAGTAAAGTCGACCACATTTCTCAGGGGTGTCGCTAACTCTGGGCGATGTGGTGAGACCCAGGAATAGAATGTCTCTCAAAGCCCAATACCGGTACTCAATGCCCTGTCCCTCTCATATTCGGCAGACTCATGTCCCAATTGTTCTTAACCACGTGTGACACTGTTAAGAATACAAATGAAGTCTGAATATAAAACAAAAATGTAAACCAAACATCCCGAGTATCACCCAACTGAGTCCTATCTCTCAAGTCATGACAAGAAAAAATCCCAAATCTTTACTGCACACTCCCTCCTACTTATGTACAAAAGGATAGGGCACATGTATCTGACTCATACCATCTACATCTCTAACTCGTTTCTTATCTACAAAACATCTTACTCCTAGTGACATACAGGCAAACCAGCCCCTATTCACTCATCTCCTCCTGGTTTTGCCTATACAACTAAGCTCTACCCCCATCTGAAGCCCTCTCCACCACTCGACCCTGCCTATCGTACATCCTGCCATCTCGCTCAGTAACCCGTCCTGCAGCCCTATCCTTGAGGAACTCTAGGGCCCTATGCATGCCATCCAGAAAGTAGAAGCACATGGCCTCCGATTTCCTCTGAAACCTCTTCTTCTTTTTCTGGACTCCTGACGACGGGAGTGCCTCTGAGGCAGGTGCCACGATCCCTCAGTCCTTTCCCCAAGTCCCTGAGCACTCGACCCCCCTCGCTGCTCGCTTCCCTCGGGCCTATACTCTGGGGTATCCAACCTCAGTGGCCTACCCTCGTGGGTCCTTCACTCTCACGAGGTTCTATAATCTGGGGAGTAGTTGCCTTTGCAGGCTGACTCGTGGCCTCCTGCTGTTGTCGCTCGGTGGCCAGCCCCCCTGAGTCAGTCCTAGTCGCCCAGGAGCCCAACTGTCCCTTCAACTCCCTCATTTCTGGCACATGCTCCGGGGTTTCCAACCTCTGAGGCCTCTCCGATGGCATATCTACTTCCATGGCGGCTACCAACTCGTCCAGGCGCGACGACTCTTTCCCTTGTGCCTCAGGCTGAGGGGGTGTCACTGCTCCAGTAAGGGTCCCTTCCTGTACCTCCAAAAGGATCGTAAGTGATTCTTCTGCAGCTTCTTCCTCTGCTGGTGCAGGCTGGGGCTCGTGAGTTGGTACCTCCACATGGGTTTTGGCTGAAGCAGGGGCCTCTCGCCGCGAGGCTAACTCAGTGGGGGCCATGAACTCAAAACTCCCCTTGTTGGCCTCTTTCCTCTCTTCTACCTCAGCCGGGTCGAGAAACATCTTCCCTAGTTTCTCTTGCTGAGATGTCTCTCCTGCCTCCCATTGGCCAAACAGTCCCTGCATCCCTTCGCCTTGAATGCGATACCTGCTCTGTTCAGTCCAATCGACCACCTTAGTGGCCGAAAGTCTTTCCACTTCAGCTGACATCTCCCTGAGTTTTTTCTCCCATTCAGCTTCTTTTGCTTCCAGGGGAGTCCTCCAGGCCTTGTTTTCAGCTCTTTCTTCCGCGAGTTGGGCAGTCAGTTGTTCCACCTCTCCCTTTCTGATTACCAGCTCATCACTGAGCAGAGTATATCTCTGAAAGGATGTGGTGGCTGCTTGTCGTATCCTTCTGTCCACCCGCTCGATGGCCCTTCTGGCGGAAGAAAATCCCAGCTCCCTAATCTCGATCGCTTCATCTGCCCTCCCATTTGCTTACTCTGCCTCTTCTGACCTCTGGCGGGCTGCCTCCCTTCGATCCTCATATCTGGCCCACAACTCGTCAATCCTCTGCTCGCTTGTCTTGGAGTCAGCTGGTGGTGTCGGCGCTATCCCTGCAGCCTCCATCTTGTCGCTCTGCTCATGTATCTCCGCAAGGCGGGCCTGTATCCTGACAGACTTTGCCTCTGCGGTCTCATTTGGCACCCTCCTCGCCCTTGCTCCGAGGACCTCCCTGACTGGAGTCTGCGCACCCTTCTGAGGCTCGACATGCGGTGACCCAGACGATGGCCCAGCCGGAATAGGCACCTCTATATCAGGATGCTCAGATGCATGCGCAGCTAAGCATGAATCAATGACCACGCGGGGCTCAGTCCTCCATCCCTCTTTCGGTTCTCGTGCCTCAACCCTTTGTCGGGGTGACATAGTGGCTTCTGGCAGGGGCGCTGGAATCTCTTGACTATCTGGCTCCGGGACTCCCTCTGGTCAAGACTGCCGCACCTGGGCTGGAACTGGGGTGTGAGGGGGAGTATCACCTTCTATCATAATAACCTCCCCAGCGTGCAACTCCTTCGGGCCATGCGGCTCAGCCTCCGGATCAGGGTGTGCCGGCTCCTCTCTCGATGGATCCGTTGGGCCCACCCCCACTGAAGGGGCCTTCCACTGGGAAGCATCAAGATGG